ATATATATATATATATTATTTCTAATTATACTTTCTTTTCAAATTATATTTTTATCCTGATCAATACTCATTAAATGCGATTAAGATCAAATTTACATAATTTCCAAGAATCGTATCGCGATCAAATAATTGATAAAAGAAACGTCAAAAATAAAACGAATACGCAAATTATTTCCACTGTACATTTTACGATAAAAGCTTGGTAATACCGATAGAATACAGGATGGGTCTATGGTAGCAACTGCATAGAATGCTTTTTGTCGAGCTCAAGGCCTCGACGAGATGTGAATGAATCTAGAACCTGTTCCCCTCTGCTTCTTCTTAGGTGTATTCCACCTTCTTTTAGAAGTCAGGAACGGGCAATAGGCTCGTTGAAAGCTGCCTTAGAACCGGGTTGAATCGAGTTTGTTACACGGCCTGAAATATAATCCACTTCACGTGCATTGTCCACCGAGCAATCCTTTTTCTTCCGTTTAACCTTCTTTTCGATGGTACTCCTGAAATGTTGACCGAAGTGATGATTCGCGTGACCTGACAATTTTTCAAGTGGACATTCTCGAGAATACTTGAGTTAAGAATGAGCATAAAATTTTGCAAACTGTTATGAAATAACTAGCCACTTTTCACGAAAGAAACTTTTTAAGCGAAGCAAAAGTAAAATCCAAAAATTTAAAAAAGAAAAAATAGATGAAAATTACATAAAATTTGAATGTATTATATTTATATTTGATAATTTGAAAAAGCAATTGTATTTCCTCAAAGAAAAAGAATAATTTTTGTTTGTATTATTTTATTATTTACTTATTATATATTTATTAATATTAATTTTTTTTAATAATGTGTATTATATTATATTATATTTTTTTTAAATTAATTTAAATTACTATTTCCTTTGAAAGATATATAATATATAAAACATACATCTTCATTTTTAAAGTTAGTAATTATAATATAAGGAAGCTATGATTAATATTTTTCCAGAATTATTAATAGAACAGGATGTGTGATAATTTATTCATTTCCTATTAAGTATAATTTATCTATTTTTCCTATTCAATTCGATTTGTTCTTTTTTTTTATGTTTAACGAGGTCTTGTTTATCTACTTTACTGTATTCTTTTCTTTTTAATTCACGAAAATAATAAAGATAGAAAGCTGATGATTTGGATGAATGATCAAGTAAAATTTTCAATTTGACGACGAATGAATTTACTTTTAATATCATGCGAATTCATTTTATTTTAAATTTTGTATGAAATTTTATTAAATATTATACATTGTTTATTATTATTATACAGTGTAAAAATAATCCTTATTAAATTTAAAAAACATTGCTATAATCAAAACTATTGAATCTCATTTATATCCATTATATCCATTTATCATTATATCCATTTATATCCCAATAAGGAATAAAATATAAAATCAAATAATATTTCATCCTTTTTAATATGGAAGATATTATATGAAGATACATAGAGTCAATATATTTTATAATCGAAACTAAATGTAATTCAATTCATAATTTGCCTCCAATAATACAACATAAAGTCAAGTTATTAAAAAAAAAATCCGAAGAGAGAAAACATCAGGAATCGAAAGAATATGACTAGGAATAGAGAAAAAAAGAAAAAAAAAACATTTGACAGAAGGTACAGATGATTTATACCACCCCAATTCCCATCAAACGAAACACTATTCGCGAGTACCTACTATACTACCTACAAGGCCCTCGATTCTTCGTCGTTGCCACTACCCCCCACCCCAGAGCCCACGTGCATCGGCGCGTAGGCAACCCCGGCGTTGTTCGTGATGTCGCTTCGCTCGCCAGTTTCGACAGAGTCGTGCCGGTGATCGTTTGTTTGAGTCGATCGCTTGTCGATCGATACTATATTAATGATATATTGCGTGAATCGGCGTCGAAATTATAATAAATCTTCGATCGAATACGTTCTCGAGAGTTTGTAATATTTTGTGTGAAGTTGATAAAAGTTTTTCGTTCAGTGGGCTTCGCGCCACTGCGTGATTCTTGATCTTCTTTCTTCCTATTATGCATTTGAGAAACATCTAGCCAAAGGTAAGTTTTTTTTGTTATAATTTTTTTATCAATATTCTTTGAAAATAACTTATTCGGAAAATAAAATTTTGAAAATGTTTTGTGATTTGATATTTGTCGATGTCTTATTCGTTTCTTTGTATTCGTTAAATTAAATAGATTTATCACATAGTATAAGATATAATTAAAGAAATTTAGTAGTAATATGAGGAGGTTAATTTTTCTTCGCTTGTCTGAATTTGTGAGTCAGATATCCGGAATGTTACTTTATTAAGGTGCCATATTTTGGATCTTTTTACATGCTATTTGGCTCGAGTTCAGAAATTTTATATCGATGTTTACACAAGAAAATATAGCGTTCGACATTAATTAAAGTTAAAAGGATGGGATTTTGTCATTTTCGTTTTGTTTGAATTTTCGAGGTTAGGTTAAGAAAGTTTTAGTTTCTTGGTTAATGGTATCATAAATCTTTCTCTTTTAAGAGAGAGCTTTCTCGAAGAGACATTCTAAATACGGATCCTTTTTAGAGATTTATTATAGTAGATTTTCATGGAATAATATTGCTTCTTTTGTTTTTTGTCCCATTGCTTAGAAAAGCTTCGCTTAGCAACCGCGGTTTCTTTGTCAACTCGTGGCCAATTAGTAAAACATTTGCGAAACGCGATTCATTTCATTTCTATGATTCTGACGTTTTTCGTCTTTTGACAATTATTGATCCATAGAAATGTTTTATGAAATTTCTGTTTACGCGAATAATTATCGAAGAATTAGTTCTTGTTTTGATTTGTTTTGATTTGTTTACATAAAATGAAACATTCCATGACAGCTGACCTTGTAATCGTCAAAATAAAATTTGGAATTCATTGGACAGATTTATATGTAAATTCTTATTTTGCTATAATTTCTTGATAATTTGAAATTTCAGCAAAATAATAAACAATTTAGAAATTAATCTCCATACTTTTTCGAAATGATAATTCTGATAAATATATCAAGTCAGTAAATTATTATTAAAATAAGAAGAATATGCATATCTAAACGGTTTTCTTAAATATTTTATTAGTAATAATAAATAATAAATATTTATGTTTAAATGTTATATTTTATTTAATGTTTATAAAATATCTAGTAATTTTAATGATAAATATAAAAAAAAACTTTTAAATAAATAACTTTTAATATTATTTAGTATTATTTAAATATAAATTTCGAAATAGTATAAGATTCGAATAGTAGAATAGTAAATAAATAATATTTTTTTTATTAATATCACATTTATCAAAATGGCGGATTGAAAATTTTTTCACATTAAATTTACAATTGTTGATAAATTTTTATTCGGCTAAATGTATAAGTGCTAAGAATTATTAAATATTTACTTCTTAGTAAATTTGTAATTAAAATATTAATATTATGTGTTAAATATTCTGAGTAAATACAACAACGATTATTCTTAATTATTTGCTTGGAAAGTACACAAATGCACTTCCGTATTTAGTTGGTAGATAGTTTTAAGGATCGTTGATTTGGTAAATATGTCCGATACGGTATAAATTATGCAAATCCATATGTTTTGCATTTACAGACACATTTAATATGCCCGCGTCATTCATAATCATCGTAATACCGACTATAAATCATAGATGAATTTTCTTTCGTGGAATGAATATAAGGAATCGTCGAAAACAAACTTGAATTATTAGCTGTTCATCCTGTAGAAATTACTCTTATAAATTATTTCATGATAATATTACTAACCAGCATTTAATCATTTGAAATTTTTTCTACTGAGATTTCTAAAATATTTCAATGCTTTTATTTCAATAGAAGATATATTTGAAGATTTACAGAAAAGCACTAATTTCGAAATAACAAATCAATAAATTTTTAAAAAATATTAAAAATAACATTAGAGAATTGTTGCAATTACATATATTACATATATTCGAAGCGTAATACTAGCTGACTAGAATCAAGTAAAAATTCATTTAGTTGAAGTTCATTTTAAAAATATCTTTCTTTGATAATTATCAATTATAATAAGTATCAAAAAAAACATTTCTTTCTAACAACTACATATATAAAAAATTTTACAAAAGTTAAAATTTCAAAAAAATATTTTGCATTAACATATCTATATATATATTTTGCTAATTGTTTATTATATATATATTTTTTTCAATTAATAGTTAATTAATTTTTCTAAGAAATTTTAAAATTCTAATCAAATATTTAACATGTTCAATTAATTTTAGATAATATGTTTATCATTTAATTAAAAACATTGATAATTTTTATATATGAATCGAAAGCTTTGTTTCATTTTTTATATAGTTGCTTAGATTGATTTAAACGTTAGACAGTTATAAGGTTGCTTATGTAGCCAACAATAAGAGGCAATTTGTATCTATAAAAATGGTGTATAATCGACGGTCTTAACCAAAGGGACAGGGGGATTGTTTCTTATGTTCGAAATGCAAAAGGACAAGGTGTTAACGATAATTACATTGTGCGACTGCTGATCTTATTGTTAGAGCGCTAACTCTGATATCACATGATACGTTCCCCTTGTATGGGCGTTAATGATGGTCGACCCCTTTCTTCATCCACTCTTAAGTTAAATCGACTAGCCACAAGCGACTAGTGATTGCAATCCTCGTTTCCATATTTGATTCTTATTGTCCTGCCCTTTTAACTACTTATCATATTTATCTTCTTCAATATGCTCTGCATTAATGAGGTTTGGATATCTTTCAAAGTATCTATTGTTCAAACTCAATGCAGAATTTATCTTCTGTTAAAAATTTTATTAGGATTTGACTATTTGATTTTTATTTCTACGAGTATCTTGTCCAATATTTTTTAAATTTCGTCTTTTGAACTCACTTTAATGATATATTATAATTAATATTATTTAATTTAACTTAATTATATATAATATATATAATATAATTATTTAATTTAATTTAAAGTTAAATAAATGATAAATATATTGATATATTGATGACGTCATATTACTGCTAATATAACATTATGAAAGGAACGATGTAAAAAAAAAATTCTTCGTGAGATCATGAATACTATTAATTCTCTTACATAATAATAACCAGTAAATAAATTTTTACATTATACGCAATAATAAATGATTTCAATTTCTAAAATTGTGTGATAAAATTCATCAAACTATAACTAATTGTAGATTCCAAAAAACCCATTTTATTAAAATTATTATAATTTATAAATTATCATGCAAATCTCGAGATATTATTCCTTCCAATATTTTTAAATACTTAATTTAACTATTAAACTTTTCTTCAATTTTCATTCTTTGATACATTAATTCATTACTTTCTATAAATCTTTTCAATCTTTTTTCGTGCAAAGATTCTTTAATCCTCATTAATCATTATTTATATACAAATCTAAAAAAAAAGGTTCCTTCGACCCTTTACAAACATCTTCAATAGATAATAATCATCTAATCGCTACCTCGTTCATGCATGTCGCAAACACGATTAGAACCCTTCGTAATAAAAAAAAAAAAGAGGGGATATCAGGATCATTGGTATTGATGCAGGTTATCGTATATCTAGCGTGAAAGGGGTAGGTTTCGCCAGGGAACCTGAACTCACCTGGGTAGATTTGTCGATCGATGACGTCACCCTCGACGAAACAGCCACTCCTGTATGTATCTACCTGCGCTCGTGTACGCGTGTTCGATGCTCGTGAATAAAAAAGGACAAAACGGTGGACGGGAAAGAAGAGGCACGGCGAAGGCAACCAATCGGGCAACGAACTCTCCGCTAGCTGATACACAGCTCTTTCTCTTCGTCTCTTCTCGCTCTCGCACACTCCATACACCTCCTTTCATCTCCCTCTTTGTCCTCCCCCTTCGTCGTGACTTCTCGATTCCGCGACTCGCCCCGTCTCATTCGCACCCATCTACCTCCGCCTCGCCTTGCCTCCCTTTCTCGACCTTCTTCGTCCCGGAGGATCTAATCTCGCGATCTCTATCTGATTTTCCTCTCCTCTCGCGCAACCATGAACGTGTGTCATCCGGGCCCTAGATAACAGGGAGCAAATGAGAAGTTATCGC